GGCGTGCCGACTAAGAGGTATTTTTTTTACAAAAAAATAACTCAAAAATTATAACCATAACCATAATTGCTCAATGACTCCACATTTTTCATAATCAAGTCAAAGCTGCTTGGTAAATTATTCAGAAAGGTATAAGAAAAACAAGCAAAGTTATTTATGTGGGCAAGGTGGCCGCTTTAGGAACAATCAGTTTACTTTACGAATCCAGTCCCTCGCCATGATCAGTAAAATTAATGACCTTTTGATACAAAAGGATCCTATCCTTCTAGTATAGTTGCTTGCCACTCACAAGTGATTTCCTCTATTAGCATTCTAGCATTAGAATTAGCACTAATCTAACGGAAGTAAAACTAAGGAAAATGTAACAGATGTAGTAGTGGTTAACATATTTCCACATTTTCTGTATTTAGCTTATAGTTATTTCACAAACATTTTGTATAACTATAAAACAAGCAAAGTGATAAAGTTTCTTGCCAGTTTGTTCCAATTTCCAACACTAAACTTGCACTTCAGTTGTAATCAAACCTTTAATATGTTATTTCTGACTGGAATTGGAAAAACATGCCCGCAGTTGACTTAATACAGTCCAAGTGACCACAAGTCCCTTGACTGACACCCTGGCTCGGAGATTGACCAATCACGCATACACATGACATGCATGAGCCTCTCCAGCAGGGTACCCTCTGATTACAAAGAACCCTTAAGTAATGTTCAACAATAGTTTTACTGAGCAAAGTGCTCAGTCTAGCTACGCGACGGTGTCACAAAAATTCTACCTCCCCTCTGCACTGCTTTTGCCGCCTAGCTGCTAGCAACCCACCAGCAGTTAAGCAAGTCCTTGGGCCAGCTTCCCAGCCTGGCCTTTAGAGAAGCTTCCTCTACATTAAAAGCAGCTCACTGCTTTTAATGAAGCTGCTCTTTGCTCAAGCTTAAGAGAGAGTATGTTTGTGGAAAAGATTTATTTATTATAATGTACACTTTGTTAAAAGCATAATTTTTACAACTGATGTTAATACTTTCTGGTTGAAAGTCCATCAAATCGTCAGAGCATGTCATTACTAAAGTGACTGATGAAGCCAACCCTAACTTTGAAATTTATGTTTCAGTATGGGCAAGGTGTCTGGGGGATAGAGGGAACAGAGGAGGAGTTTGTCTTCCTTCAGATGTCTCTCGATTACCTCGCCAACTCATTGCTGTTTAAAAGCAGACATCTTTGAGTCTGTTAGAGCGTGCTAACTTCAAGGATCATGTGTGACATCTTCCCAGGTCCCACGCTTTAGAGGCCTTGAGGTAGCACACCTACTTCAGTGCTACATTTACACAATACCCAAACTACACATCTATTGCACATAACTACATAACAAGTATGGTACTATATTAAACCACTTACCCCTTGTTTTACGAAGGTGACCACACTGTATGAGAATCCAACTATGGCTGTTTCAAGTTAACACATGAATAAAGTCATTAATTTACATGCCAAAAAAATTAATAGTTTGATTAGTTCTTGCAATACTCTTATCAAGTTACTCCTCTTATAAAAGTGCCAGTTTAAGATAGAGAGAGAGAGAGAGAGAGAGAGAGAGAGAGAACTGGGCAGTTTTGCAAAACCATGCCCCCTGGGTTTCTGCCTGGATTCAGGGAAGAGGCCTAGCCAGCGGCTGTTAACCTAGGGGGGGCTCCGTCAAGGCTGGGCTGGGCTGGTGACATGGCCCAGGCACTGGGCTATAGATGTGTGTGATATGCATGTGATAACATAGTAATGTATGTTCATGTAGAGCATAAAAAGAATCATGAACAATAATTGTCATATGCCTAGTTATGTCTTACCAAGAATTGCCAAAAGACCAATAAACCGAATGGAGTCCCTGAAGAACTTAAAGCCTACAGGTTTTGGACTAAGGATGGAACGAATTAAGCCACCCTTAGTTGTGGAAAATCCTACAAAATAAAATATCACATAAAAGAAAATAGTAACAATCTGAAAGTTCCATAAAATAATATTATAGTACGACTTAAAGAGTTTCCTGGTTGTAAAATTTACTAAAACAAACAGTTGATAGCCTGAACAGATCACCTCTGGTTCTACTAGCCCTAAAAACTAGGTCTGCAATGCGTACTTGTGGGCTTAGGGTTAGGTGAAGTATTGTAGTCTTTTGAGTACGCAAAACCTAGAAAGATAAAAATACAATAATAAATGAGGTTTGTGGTAGGAACGTACTTGAGCCTGCTGTTTTTACTACCCAGCGCTTCTGTACAAAAACCGATTTATTCAACATCTCCACAAATGGTATAGTTGTCAGTGTAGTACAGTGGAGAAGTTATCTGCCTTTTCAAATTCGTTATCTTCTTCTTCTTCCTCATCATCATTGTCGTCATTGTCGTCACCGCTGTCGCCACCACCTCTGCTGTCGTCTTCAACCAACGGCCACTTTTTTGAAACACCAATACATTTTCTCATAAGAAAACTCCATTAATGAAGCCACCTCATTGATACGGCCAACGGCCACATTCTGAAATCCCAACCTGTGTAATCCTTTATAATTTTACCCCATTTATACAGCCACTCAAACCAGTTGTGTTCATCTCTTCTTTGTTAATATTGTATACACTGATTCAAGTTTCAATTTGTTTTTAATTATATCTGCATTCTGGATGTTTATTAAAGAACAGTTCTTTAGAAGTGCAATTATGATATATCTGTGAAGATGTCGACATTCAATTTAGACCAGTCATGAGGTTTGACCCCACCCGCTAATACAGCCACCCTGTTAATATGGCCAAGTTGGCCAAGTTGGCCCATTGGTGACCATATTAATGGGGTTCCACCATACTTATTAACCTAGAACGCTCAGTCTTTACAGGAAAATCTCAAATCAAGACCTTGCCATATTGGTGAGCAATGACAAGGTCAATACACCAAGGCTGAGGTTTGAGATTTTCCCGTAAATACTGAACATTCGAGGTTAAGGTATCAGTATACCTCAGTTTCTCTAAGAAATGTGAAAATTCTAATTGTTTTAATGGCTGGCTAGAAATTTTCTGGTCTTTCTTTCTCAAAAAATTTGGGATGATAAGCTCTTTTGGTTTTAGAGATCCAGAGGAATACCAATTTTGAATTTGTAATTATCGCCAACAGAGCGTTGCCAAATTCCTGTCATTGCTAATGAATTCACCCTCTGTCACGAGAATATTACTCAATAGAACGACCAGAGTTGACCGGGTTATTATCCTTCACGCAATCACGCTTCCATCATCTTGAATCTAACACTTCATGAGTTATGACTTATCAATCGCTTAGAACAAACCAAATTGTCAAAGCATGCCCCAAGCATTCCAATGGTAAACTTTAGAATGGTATAGGAGGAAAATAAAATCACATTGCCACAATAATCAAGGCATGTAAACAAATATGATAAAGGCAAAAGGGTAAAAATTACTTCATTATGAAACACATCTAAACCTTTTATATTTTCAGCAAAATAAAAAACAATTAAATTCCTAATTTATCAAGCTTGTAGGAAACAACTTTGTATACACATACTTTATTAGGGGTTATTTTCAAAACCTCCATAAGAAAATGCACTAACGTGAAATGGTCATTTGAGGTATACTGACACGTTAATAAGATGTTTATTATATGGCTTTTTGCTTTGTTTTTGCAGGCTCATAATTAACCTGTGGACATTACAGAAGAATAATGCCCTAGAATTAGCCAATCAGAGTGCGCATTATATTGGCTGCAAATATAAGCCATATAATAAATAAATGCTCTTTAATCCAAGATAGCAAAACCTGGGACTACTTCAGTGATGCAATGCTGTCTTGTTTTGGTTTTGTGGGGTTTTAAAAATGCATGTGTTTTGTTTAAATTTAGCTTGCACTTTAAAGTGCATACATGAAAGTTTACACCACAATGCGTTACTGTGTTAGGACTTTAGTGTTCTATCACTGGCAGCTCCCTAACATCATAATAGTTTACCTTCTGTGAACCTTCCCTAAAAACAACAACCATAGACTTCTACTCCAGCAGGTAGTTACCTGTTCTAGCAACCACTGCCAGGACTCTAGCATGACCATAATAACGGGTTTGTATTACTGTTGTGCCATTAAAAAGGGTGTGTCGCTTGTGTTGATCAGGTTTATATTGTTCTTCTCTTTGTTCCAATGGATTGCTTGATAATCTTTTTACATGTGGTAATGGAGTCTTTGTGACTGGTACACTTTCACCTGGGTGAAAAAACACAGCAAAGAAACATTGATATCATACAATATAAAATTAAATAATTTAGCCATACTTCTTCTACTGGCACTGTTTTAAAATCTTCAAAGGGGTTAATTCCTAAGTTACATAGTTACAGCACAGGCTATCAGCATATTGGTCATTTAGAGGTACAATACATATTATATGTAGCATACACGTATGAATGAGTAGCTTCTTACTTATTTTAGAAAGTTTAACTTAAATGATAAAAAGAAATTCCAAAATAGAGGAGAATTGCACCAAAAGTAAAACCTTTAAATAATTAACCCCTAAACAGATATTAGATGCCTGTGCTGTGCACAAGCATTCTCTCTTACCTCCCCTTCTAAGTAATAAATTCATTCTTTTCTTAAAACTTCCATAACTTTTCATGGACAAATAAAGCAATATCTGGCAGGTATGGGGGTCAGGTAGAAAGATACCATCTTGCACAACCTGGCAGATAACATAATTGAAATTGGCCCAATTTAGCATTGAAATAGCCCGTTTCCGAATTTTTTTAAGCAATGGTGACCTAAACCAGAGCTCGTGGGTTCAATTCTCACCAAAGTCAAAGAATCTTCCTTTTCTAATTACACTAACCCAAGACATTCAATGTGAAAACTTAATCAAGAATGCGCCAATCACTCATCTGATTTAAACATATGCTGACATCCAAATACATAAATCTGTATCCTTGCAAATTAGAACTATTTGTTCTAAGAATACAAATGTTACCCGGTGCTACCCCACATACAGAAAACCAATAAGAAACCACCCTTACCTAATGCAGCAGCCCAAGATCCCGAGGAAGTGGTACAGAATAAGTAAGCTACAACATTTTATAGTCATTTGTACAGGCTGTTTAAAGAAAACTTAATCAAAAAAAAAGTTTGTGAACATGAAGACTGACCAACCTAAGAAAACCAATATCTGTTGCCAAATGCTAAAGATGTCTTGGTACAGTTTTTCTGGACCATACCAAGCCTTTTCAATCAGCTTTTAACAGTACAGTGGAACCCCGTTAATACGGACACCAAGGGGACATGCCAAAATGTCCGTATTAAAGGGGTGTCCGTATTAACCGGGGTCCTCGGAAAAAAGTCAGGGACACGTGTTTTATCGATACAAACACTAAGGCCGACACTTGTATGGCAACAAAACGTTTTAATTGTACTGTAAATTACAAATCATTAACTGTATCACTCTCGGTTACATTTTGCCTTTGCAACCAGAGCCAGGAAATGGTGAGGACAAAAACGCGGTCACTGTGCTAACTGAAAGTTGAGTTATCGGCCACATTCCATATCACCTCGCAAACACCAAAAACTGCACTGGTATAGTCACCCATTTTATTTCAAAGCCTACTAATCGAGGATCAGTTGAAGTATGTGGAAAAGCAGTTAATCGGGGTGGAGGCCTTGGTAT